GTGTGTGTGTATGTGTAGACAATTGAAATGGCCAAATCGGATGAGGAATATGAAGTTGAGTTGTGCAATACTCCCCCTGCACTGTCATCAGATATACTCGATTTGCATAAAGTGCAAGATGAACCAACTTTGTGTCCGTGGCGATTTGTAACGCGAAGGCGTCGTTCACAGCGTCGATATACTTTTAACGGTATTCAGGGTGCACCACCAGCGCCACCGTCCACTCCCACATCTTTGACTGCTGCTGGCACAACAACACCCTCTCCTACTGCAACTAATGAAGATCGACTCAATAATATGCTATATATATTAGATTATGCGCCTAAGTACAAAAAGAAGCTCAAAGAGCAACAGCGTACTGATGCTGAACTAGCTGACCTGCTGAGTGTGGTGACTATAACTGGTAGCAGTGGCGGCGGTGCAAATGGTGGAGGTGGTGGGCAAAGTATTGATCGCATAAGTGCCAATTCGCGCGCAATACGGAAACCGAAATGTGCTTTCAGATCTTTTAAAGTGCATCGAAGCCTCGAGAAACCTGAGTTTTATGGTGTATTGGATGAAGAAGATTCTGTTTCAGCACCTGAATATGATACTGAAGAAGAGGATACATTGTATCGACGCCGTTTTGCGCGCAAATCATATGCCATACGAAGAGGTGTGCGGTCCAGGCGATTGGCAAAATTTGAGCATCAGGAGCGTATGGAAGCTATTTCAGACATTTTCGATACAGCTATGAGCTTCAATGAAGCATAATTTTATTAAATATGTTGCTCCGTACTCAAATGGCGCTTATTTTACTCATTTTTTGGGTCTATTGTGATGATTTTGAATTTTTTTCGTAAATATTTGTTCTCTACTTTTTTTAAGTGCGTAAATATAATTAATTTCAGTGTTTTAAGTTAAAACAATATGTATGTGTAATTAACAAATCTATTTCAATGATGAGACTCTAAAGTTCTAAGCATGTTTCTCTCTTAAGAAATGTTCCATTTGCTGTTGAAATATATTCCAAAATAAATTGCAAACGAATGTGTATTTTAAGTTTTGAATCGATTTATGTTTTTATTTCCACATACTGAAGTTGTCTAAAAATAGATGTGTACACAACGTAGAGGAGGTCCAGTTTGATAATATAAATATGGCAAATCGTTATAGAATTTAAAATGCAGTGAGAGTATAATAATTTATGTGTTAACGATTTGGATTATTTGAACTAATGGACCTATTCCAACAAGATATATGGATAGTATGACTATATTACATAGATATATGTAAGTACATATGTATATAAAAGTGTGACATATAGTAGTAATAGTGTTGTGTTGAATTTTTGGTTAATTTAAACTAATTAAACTATCTCAATTTGGGTTATGGATAGTGTGAGTAAATAATATATATGTGTAGCTGTCAACATTCATTCAACGCAGCAAGCTGGAATTGAATTGAAAAATATTGACATTAGAAAATTATTTAGATAAAGAACCATTTTTCCGGTTAAGTTTCAAGTTTTTCGGCTCACGTAATTAAGACAATACAATAAAATAATTTTTACATAATATAGCCTTTGTGATTTTTATTCCGCTCAAGCAAGAATACCATTTTAAGCCACAGAATGCTGAAGATTATAGGTGCGGTAGAAAGTGATTCCTGTCGACTCTGTTATGAGGAGAAGGAAACAGAACATATTCTATGCAACTGCCCAGCGTTGGCAAGATGTAGACTCGATTACCTTGGTAGCGGGATCCTGGTCCCAAATCAAATAGGTAAAATTAAGCCCACTGCAATTATAAGATTTATAAATAGTCTAAAATTGTTCTAGTTGGGCCTATAGGCGCACAATAGATCTTTTAGGTCGGGGTGCACAAATAGCCTATTTTAAATAATAAAAGCCACAGAAAGCCGCTATATATGTACATATATAATGCGTGGCATTTAATTTTAATAATTTAAAACTCAACTATATTTTATAATTCAGAGTAGAAAATAATAAATTAATCATAATTGGATTTATGCAATAACTTATAGGAATAATATAAAATACAGAACAAACTATAAAAACTTATAAATTCTAAAAATTTAATAATTTGGGACATTTGTGAATTTAGTGGTTAGCGGGAAAAAAATTCCAAAAGCGATACTATCCCGCCAAAATGTGACATTTGGGCACTCTAACTATTAAAGTATAAGCATTTCATAGAAGATAGTAGCTAATTAGGTAATTTCATAAAATGCTTAGAAAAAATATATGCTTCTAAAATTATAAAATTGGCACATTTTGTAAAAAACAACGTTGTACCACCAAAATTTGGCAGCTACTCCAAATATTCTCTTCGTAGTAGAAAAATACTAATCAGAAAATTTTTTAAGAAAAATATACGCTTCTAAACTTATGAAATTTGAATATGGTATATTATATATATAATGTACTATATATATACTATATTATTATATATATATACTATATTATTATTATATATATATACTATATTATTATATATATAACATAACATAGTAATATATAGTGTTTTCTAAAAGCTTTTATAGTCAATGAAACACATATTAATCTTTTTATAATTCTTATAATTTCCATCAATCAATGAAAAAGAAAGGCAAAAGTTCAGGACACAGTATGCAAGTATATAAGTTTCGGATAGGAATAAAATGAAAGTATTTATAATTGATTGCAAAAATTGTACAGAAACTCTGTTTAGGATCTGAAGTTTCAATATTGACTGACACTAAGGTATATATAAGTTGGAATACGTAGGTTAAAGACGCGTGGTTTGGAGTTATGAATGGTTGCATTTAAGGTATATAAAAATTTATGGGTCTACATTTGATAAAAGTTTAACGAAAAACTTTGCCGATATCAGCTGTTCCGTAATGGTAGTTTTTGAACAATTTTTAATGGAAGGTATGGAGACATGTGTTGTGTACCCACGGAGATTACTACAATAATTTTAAGTTTGAATGAGATCTTTATAAGTTATCATTATTATCATTGATACTAAAAATGTCTGCGCGTCTTAGCATCATTTTACAAGCTGCGTCACCGACCCCAGTTGCGAGTCGATGTCATCCAATGTGCAATAAGTACAATGAATAAGTATTCTATGTATTTTTGATACGAAATTAGAGACTGATGAATAAAGTAGTAAGGACGAACTTATTCAACTCAACAGATCACTAAAGAGATGGCCTATTATTTTGGCTATAGCTACAAATTTAAGTTAAAATTTTTTTTTTCTATTGTGAGTTCCTGTGAACGTTGCAGATATGATTGTATTTATCCCACGAGATCATTCAGAATAGATGATAAAACGCTTTCACTGCCTCTTTTGGATTTTCGTCATTTGTAAATAAGACGAATTAAGCACGCTTCATTCTTCATTAGACAATGTAAAACTATTCGGTTGCTGAAATTCATTGAGGAGTTTAGACGTACGGTTAAAATGCGTAGTGCGATATTGGTCGCGATATTGCATTGTATTTGTCCAGTACGATTTTATGTCTTTACCCTAAGAGCAATCTGCAAACATCATCAGCATAGTTTTATGACTTTTCAACTTTGCAGAGCATGTGAGGAGAAAGTTAACACACTGTATAGTACGACACTGAAGATTCTGGGTTCGGTGGTGGTAGGGAAATTGTATTCACCGAAGGTGATAGACAGAGTCATAGTCTTGGAAGTTAAGAGAGTGACTTAGCACTTAGAAGGGGGTAGATAAAGATTTCTTTTTTCAAAGAAAGTAGCCACTTGGGAGAGGTATGCATTGATTCTATTGCACAATATAATATGCTCCGCTTGAAATAAACGACTGCTCAGATGAAAAAAGCTGCTTAGTCCTCTCAAAATAAACTCAGAAAGCAGATATATTTTTAAAATTTTTAGAATTGTTACAACAACAGCATGGGTTGTTTTGTGAGACTGATTGTCATATTTAAAAAATACAAGAAGCCTTTACTGATGTGCTTATATTCATCTACCACGTTGGTAGTATATGAAATTAATATTCAGTCGTAAAAGATAGATGTATGGAATCGAAAATGGAGACCTGTCGACCCAACGGAATGAAGTAATATCCAATTTTGTCAAAAAACGGCTTTGCGGATTTCGACTGATTGCATTCTCGGGTCGCATACAGACCACTTTTAGGCAGAATACTTTTTGTAAAAGAGCATAATCAATTCACTTCTAATCAATATCTACTTGCATCAATATCTATTGCAATAAAGCCAACATGAGTGAGGTCGAATACAATTTCCTTTTCCAAAGAGCGAGACTTTTCCCATGCAGCAAGAACTTTCCTACTGCAATTGAAGTTAGAATAATTCCATGCGGATCTCCCATGATGTTGTTCATCTGTTTTCTTGTAATAATACATAGACCAATTTATACCTAATTGATCTCTGGTTTCACCCCATTTTGGTTAGCTTTGTCGCTTTAATCGAGGTCTGTTTTAATTAAAATCCCGACGATCAATAATCTGCTTTCGTTCATAAATAACCCTTCTTTTTCATAATTTCTTTACTCCTTTACACAAACCAATTTAAGCCCAATTGATCTCTGGCTTCACCCCATTCTGGTTAGCTTTGCAGCATTAATCAGTCTGTTTTAATTAAAATCCCGACAATCAATAATTTACTTTCGTTCATAAATAACCCTCTTCTTTTCCACAATTCCTTTACTCAACCATATCCGAAGCCATGTATTCTAAGTTAGTTTGTAAATACTTACCGCTCTTGGATTATATACATAAACAAATAGTCTGTAGAAGGAGAAAGCGTTTATTTATTAAATTTATATGTCAATACAACCATTTGTCACTTAACGTTTACCACCTTCAGAGAGTATAACAAATATATTTGTTAAAAAAATAATACATTCATATATTTTTATATAATTTATATACTTATATGAGAACAATATATGAGCTTTTAAAAATTTAATCATATTAAAAAAACATCAAAAAATACAATTTTCCTAAAGTACATCGAGAGTTATGAAGAGAATCATATATCTGCATATAAAAATTGCATATATGCTTTCAATAATATAATGTAAAACAATATCATGGATTTATCTTCTACCATGTAAATAATTGATGTCGATATCAATAATTTTTAAAATATAAAACAATATCAAAATAAAAACATTCACATAACTTTGATTCGCTTCGCAAATCTCACCCAGTTTCCAACCATACAATCCTTTGATTATATATAATTATTTTAAGTTAATTATATTTAAACATTATAAATAACATTTTTGTTGCATTAAAAAATATTCAACAGCTTTCGAGACTAGTACTACGATTATAATTGTATTAAACGAGTCTAAATATATTGCGGTAATTTAATAATAATAATGTCATTGTAATATTGCTAACTTATAGTTTTTAAAGCAAATTAATTTGTCTTTAATTATTTGTTAAATATATTTTTTTTTTGAAAATTTTTAAAAATTAAATTATTTAGAGTTCTACTCTAAAAAAATTCTCTTTGAGATTTTCTTCAAGCACTGCTGGATCTGTAACTGGCATGCGGCAAACCCTGTCGTGACATATGTACACTGTTGGCTTACCATTGATCATTTTGAATTTGTTTTGGACACGTTCATTGTAGGAATCATCTGGATGCTGCGGATCGACATGTAGTATTATCATACCTGGTATATAAAATTTACGGCAAATTTCTACAAAACGCTTAGTAGTTTCTGAATCTGGTCCAACAACAGCAACCAAATCCAAACCAAATTCATGTAAGAACAAAGCTGATGTCATTTCTGGAAGTGTATAGCCAAATGGCTTAACATCTGCAAAGAAATCAAATAATTTTGCAGCACGTTTTTGATAGGTGTCTTTATCGAAGTAGTGTGAGAGTAAAATAAGATTGCGTGCGGAAACACTATTTCCACATGGTTCTGCGCCATCGTGATCTGTATCATATGAAAACAAGGTTATATTAATGATACACAAAATTGTTTATGTACAAACCTTCTTTAAGTCTTACGACTACGTTGGGTGATTCAGCTTCTGAATAGAAATAGCCACCATGGTTATCATCCCAAAATAAAGTATCCTGTATATCTTGTAGCTCTATTGCCCATTGTAAAGCGTTTATGTCCAAAGAGGATTTATAATAATCTAGAAGTCCTTTAATTAGAAAAGCATAATCGTCTAGGAAGCCATAAATATTCTCCATTCTGTAAATTGAATTAAGAACAATTAATAAGATCTAAACAATTATAGTACTTGAAATAAAAACAATATTGATTTGTATTTATAAATTAAAGATTCAATCAATTTAAAGGTAGTCTAAATCCGATAGTTGGATACACTGTGATACCACAGTTTATATAAATGCATATTTTTATCTATATACTAGTTTGATAGTTATATATAGTTATATTTGGCTTGAAAATGGTTCCAGTTTGATTGTTCACATTTGATAAAGTGCTATAAATTCTTTAGATTTTGTCGCTTATTCTTTAAGTTTTTTTGTCTTCAATGTAGGTCAGGAAATAACAAAGAAAGTTAGTCAGTTAATCATTTTGCGCAATTCCGCAATAGAGATAAACTACCTTAATCTAAGCATCTTAGTCTCAATTATGTATACCAATCATGCTTAAGACATCATAACCCAACTTGCACTTGCAAATGCTTGGGAATAATAGACAACGTACTCTGTGTTATCTATTTGACTTCAATCAGTTCTCTGCGATTCTTTTTCTTATCTTTTCTTTTTTACTAAAACATGAACTAAAATAAGTTGCTTGATGTATCATAAGAAGAATATCAAGACTGTGCGGTTAGCTCAGTGTAAGACCTGTACTTTAAAAATATTTGTTCCTCAACGATTAATATAACAGATCACCGTGATGCGTTTGGATACTTACACTATTTGGATTATAATGATTACAGGTCATTGCAACTAAGTTACAATCTAAGTTCATATTATTATTTGAGTAATTTAATTAAAAATAAACGAGCTAGCATTTTTTTTGAGCATACAAAATTTTTCTTTGAATGGAATACCTTCATCAAGAAATATGTGTAGTCTAGTATTTTTTTTCGCATTTCCTTTATACACACCTTTGTATTCCAAATATTAGATATAGGTCATATTTAAATATAGAACTATTATAATCTTAATAGAGTTTATAGAGTTCATTAATATAATATAAGTCCATAAATTCACTATATACAGTAAATCCTTATACCTTCATATGAGTGCTTCAAAAATTCTTTTTGTTATTAGTGGAAGTAAGAAGATTTACTAATATTTTGTGAAGTAATCATTTCTGTGCCATTGTTACAAAGATAATAAATAGAGTAATTGGTCTGAATTTCCGATTGGGATAATATTCAATTGAGTATTTACGGGGAAAATTTGTGTAGATTGCGTCAGATTGGTCAGCAGAATAAAATATTTCTATTTGGTCTGTTGGGATTTGGGTGATCTGATAGTTTTGGTTTAAACTGAAAAAATTATTTTGCTGATAATCAAAAGCTTAATCTACTTGAGGAATATACTTTCAATTATAGAAACAAATTTACAAACATTTTCCAGATTTTCCTTTTCCAGATTTTCCTTTATAAATATCTAATCCTTAAAAAGGATTTTTAAGGATTATATATAACCAATTGTGTGATTAGAAAGATTTTATAATAAACATTTCTTCGTTTTTGATAGAAGCCACATATTCTTGTGTTTGATGGGAACTAATTTAAATCCAATAATTTTGATTTGAAAAAATTTTTGTTAAAACTGAGATAAAACTGGACTGATTGTGCTTCACAATACCTGTTGCTATGTTATTCTGCAACTGTTTTCAATAAAATAGTTTTTTTGTGAATAGGTAGTAAATGTTTATCAACAACTAGTAGATGACCCGGCGAACTCTGTTCCGCCTTAAAGGCAATAAATAAGCAGTTTTTTTTTAATTGGAAAAAATACAAAAAAAAAAAAATACCTACATTAATCATTCATAATTTATTTGTGTATTTTAGTACACATCGCAAATTATCTATTTGTTGACCTCTGTTGTTCGCTCGACCTTCAGTCCTTAAATTTGCAGTATTTCGTATTCTTCTTGCATTACGGCTTTGTCGGGAAAGATTCGATCGTCTTGGTCGCGGCATTATTAAAAAACTAAAAACTCAAATTTTCAACCATACCATACATTATAATTGTTAATTATTTATTTTGTTGAGTTTGCAACAACCAGGTAGTTTTATTGATTAAAAACGATATTTATTGCAACACAAACTTATATTGATCTAATACAACTTTTAAAAACACATTAACTAAGTTATATTTCTATCTGTTAAATTTTAATAAAATATTTTCTTATATCAAAAATTTGATAATTTCAAAACCTACTTTGTCGTGAACGGGATAAACGGGTATCCTATGTCCTTCTCCTGGCCTTAAACTACCTCCCTGCCAATTTTCAGCTAAATCGGTTCAGCCTATGTCCTTCTCCTGGCCTTAAACTACCTCCCTGCCAATTTTCAGCTAAATCGGTTCAGCCGTTCTTGAGTTATAAGTGGTGTAACAATAACACATTTTTCTTTTATATATATAGAAGAAGAAGATAATCTATATATATTCTATATATATATACATGCATATATATAATTATATACTCGTATATATATATATACATGCATATATATAATTATATACTCGTATATAATAAAGGCATGGTAACTCTTCCACAAGAAAACTACAGTTAAGTAGGAAACCGATTGTGTCTGACAATTGACGAGTAATTCTTAACAATGGTTCTAATCAATTCTAATCAATTTCTGAATTTGAATCAGAATCTATAGAAGGTCAAGGTTAGAGTGGCGGCCTTGTGCATTAAAGGATCTGTAGTACATTTCATTTATTAATGTCCGATTAGGTTAAATTATTATAATGATCCGTGTAGGCTTATTCTCATTTTACCGCTGAATCTGGTGGGATTTAAAACCATTTCTAATCTTCAATTAAGCCAAAAATCTTCTTAAAAGGTGAGACTCTACCGAGTTTTATCATTTTAAATAATTTCTATTCTTTAATAAAGTCAAAAATCCTTTTTAAAAATTATTTCTACTATTTTTATCAGTCGCATATGTCAATGAGAAATCAGATGTTGAACACTGCTATGTATTTATAGATATTTCCTATTCAAAACTTTTAGCGATAAACATTTTTACTTTATTATAGTTGTTATAACCAGCGGGAAACTGTTGGTATTGTCACTATTTATTGGAACTTTATTAGAATTGATAACTTTGAATTCAGTCATAAGAAATTTATACTTATAAGAGTTTATAAGAACGTCTAGCTTCAACTTAAAAAATTATAGTTTAAGGATCACTCACTACTTGGCTACAACCACTAAGCGTCAACCGCTGAAGTTACAAGTTTCTCATCAAGTTACAATCAGATCTCATACCAAGAATGGTTTAACATGGTTTAGAATATTATAAAATTAATAGTTACCTTCAACATTTATTAATATAATTTATAATATAAAATTTATACTTACTCTTCTATATTGAGCTTTTCATTATTGACATCTATTCCGTAACAGGAGCGGAATAGTTTCTTGTGCTTAGCATCAAAAAGATTCGTTTTTATAAAATCGACAAGTTTTTTAGCTGCATTCATATATTCTTCACGTTTTGAACTACCACAATTTGACAATTTAGCTAAGCCAGATAAAACCAAGCCATTCCAAGCGGTTATGATTTTAGTATCAAGATGTGGCCGAGGTCTTTTATCACGTATTTCATGTAAGATATCATTTGTTGTATTCAAAATGAGTTGCAATTGTTCGACAGTTATTTCAAACTTCTTGCAAGTATCCTTTTCAGAATCTTTTACAATAAGTATATTTTTGCCTTTTAAGTGTCCTTGAGGATCACTTGATGGTTGTACATTACCAGCGGGAAGCATAGAATAATGAAAGGAATATATTTCAAATGCGCGGTTTGCATCAAAATTCCCATATAATTTTTCATTAGCCATAACTGCTTCCTTCACTTCATCAAATGTCCAAGCATAAAATGCGCCTTCTACTTTTACTGCATCGTTGAAAGTTGGCAAAGAATCAGCATCTTCTCCAGCAAAAAACCCACCTAGTGGATGTCTTAGATCTTTTATAAGATAACGAAATGTATCATCAGCGCGTCGTAAAAAATATTCATCACGGGTTAACTTATATGCGTTTGCATAAGACGCCATCAATTGCCCTTGATCGTACAACATTTTCTCAAAGTGTGGCACATGCCACTCACTATCTACGGAATATCGTGCAAATCCACCAAAAACATGATCATGTATGCCGCCATCACCGATATGGTAGAGAGTTTGTAATACCATATCCAGGACATCAGTGTCCTTTGTTACAATATAAGCGTGAAAGAGAAAGTTAAGTCGTGATACTTCTGGAAATTTGGGACGAGAACCAAAACCGCCATAATGTCGATCATAGCGTTGTTTGAATATATTCAATGCTTCTTTTAGAACGTGATCTGCGCTATTGGGCTCAAAAACTTGTTCGCTTTGTTTTTCTGTCAGTTGCTTTCTAAGTGTTGCTATAATTTCTTTGCCAGTTGAGTTAAGTTGCTGCTCGTTTGATTCCCATCTTGAAAGTATTGTTTTCAGTACATTTGAAAAGGAAGGTACACCTCGACTACAATAAATTTTCTTATTAATGTGTTGTACCAAGGTAGAAAATAAATTACTTACTGATTAACTGGAGGAAAATAAGTGCCTGCAGCTAATGGAGCTAGGTCTGGTGTTAACCACACAGACATAGGCCAACCACCATGTCCATTAATCATTAAAACAAATTGCATATAAATTTTGTCAATATCAGGACGTTCTTCACGATCCACTTTAATGCTTATAAAATTAGAATTGAGAATTTTAGCAACATCTTCGTTTTCAAAAGATTCACGCTCCATAACATGACACCAGTGGCAAGTTGAATAACCAACAGACAAAAATATCAACTTTTTCTCTGCACGTGCACGTTCTATAGCCTCTTCACCCCAAGGATACCAATCTACTGGGTTATGGGCATGTTGTAAAAGATACGGAGATTTCTCTTTAGCCAACCGATTTGTATGTTTGGGTGCTGCTGAGACTGCTTCAGTAGACATACTGCGTATCAAACTTGTTCTACCAATAAAAAAATGTTAAAATCGAATTAGTGTCATTACACTTAAAATACTTACGTAAAATATGAATGATTTGTTGCTTGTAACGATAAACCTTTTTCTTTTTGTGTTGTTGTTGTTTTTAAACAACTCGAATTTTTTGTATTTATTGTCAATGGGATGTGCTTTGGAGGATTTGCTGCTGTGCTTGATTTACGTATTAAATTATTGCTGCAACGACATATATTTTTAAACATAGCAAAGAAAAAATTTAGTCAGTTTTGTTTAAATACTCAATTGGGAATAAAATATTTTCGAAAGACGTATAACACAAGAGGCAAAAATTGAAAAGAAACAAAACAAGATTGTTTTTTACATTTTCTTTTTTTTATATTTACGTTTTTTATTCTATCCTACTTTTGACATTCTGTTTTTCAAGTGAAATCATTAGTAGCGCACTCTGTCGCAAAACATTCTATTTAAAAATAACTGCCATTTTCTATACAATGTTTGTTTTAGATTAATTATAATAAATTATAAGTAAATCTATAAAAAAAAGAAAATAAATTACAGTTTCATTACATCAGTCGCTTATATTTTTTTTTCCATCCTTTTCTTTTTGTGTTTCTCCTTGTCCGTTATGTGAAACTCCGTGTAATGAAAAAATGTGACAGCTAGATTTGCTGTCAAATTTAGTTTTGACTTAACTGATTTCAGTGCAAAGTAACTTTGTTGGAAATTTTTAAATTTAAAATACGCTATAGAATTCTGATAAGGGTTAACCAAATAGTGAAATGAAGTTTGCGCTTATTATGTGAATGTTTAATATCTTTGAAAAAGTGAAATGTGCTTAACAAAATTAAAAATTTATTATGAGAATGTTTTCAAAAAAAATACGTTCAAAGGTATTTTTTTGCGATAAAATGCCATAGTAATAGTAAATAAATGTGTAATAAATAATGTGATAAACGCTTTATAGCTTAAAAAATATTTTGAAATAATATATTATTTTGATATGCATACACAATATTTTATTTGATATTTTATTGATAAATATCTAATTGATATTTTGTGGTCAAATTCGCACAAGCCGCCATTTTGCTTAAAGGTAAGTCTGTAAAAAAAAATATTTGCTTACTTCCTTTTTTTAAAAAAAGCATATAATTTGAATTTATATATGCAAACATGTTAATGATTTCTAAAAAACGACAATTATCTTTCAAAAGATCAACTAGAATTATATCGTTACCTTGATATTTACTGAAAACAGCAATATACCAATTAGTTGTAGCAAAACTGCATATTCCACTCTACTGACGACTTTGAATTTAAAATTTGGCAGGGTACTTATAGTCTCAAAAAATTGCTAACCAATAATTAAATTTAAGAAGTACAAGGGTCACTATTTATATTTTGAGCCTAATAATGAAAACATACTAACTTGTCGTTGAAAATTGTTGTATTGTTTCTCGAAATATTCTCCTTTATAATTAATACACTTTTGTCTGCGTTCGAACCATTTGTCGAAGCATTTTTTTCAATCTTCTTCAGACACCTTCAAAACATGGTTTTTAAATGCAACAACGGCTTCTGCTTCTTTCTCCGACAAAAATCGTTGTCCGCACAATTTATTCTTCACGTTCGGGAATAAAGAAGAATCAGGACTGTACGGCGGATGACCCATCAAGTCGATTTTTTGAATGTTCAAATAATCGGTTGTTAGGCGAGATGTGTAAGTAATCGCATTGTCTTGCTAGAAAGGTTGAATGATTAGCCGGCTCTTGTTTATTTTTCGCATTTTACTGAAGACTTCTGGAAAACAAATGGTTGTATGCCATTTGGAACTAATTATTTTGCGTTCCTGTAATGATATAGTTGGTGTTGTTGCCACATGATCAAGTTTCCCGAAAAAACAAGCTATCATTTGTTTCGAAGTGCTTCGAGCGCGAACAAATTTTGTTGGATTTGGTTTATCTTGATATGACTGCTGTTTACATTTCGGTTCATATGCATATATACATGCTTCGTCACGTGTTACAATTTTATATACTCGCACGACTTTTGAAGCACCGCCATTGTATTCTTTTGAGCATTTGTGTGCACCAATCGACACGAGCACCTTTTGAGATTTTGTTAAATGATGTGGAATCCAACAAGAGCAAACCATTCTTACGACTAAATGATTGCATATTATTTTATATACGTTGGTTGAATAATGCATAGGATTCCCCCAATCTAACATTATCTCGCATGACGACCTTGCATTTTTTGCATAGCATCAATGTTTTCTGGCACAAGAACTGATTTTGGTCGATCTTAACGAATTTCGTCAAAGGATGGTGCTTCATCGCTAGATGTGAAAGTAAATTGATCGATGCACTCTTGTCCTGATAATCCACGTCAAAAGACGTATTCGTAATAAATCATCGCACAAAAATTTTCTCGCATTAATTCCATTTTTTCGCGAAAACTCAATTTATAAATCACTGTAAATACGAGTAACACAAATAGCGCTATTTTGACAAAAACTCTATTGTAGGTTATGTTTAGTAATGTCAAACTTTTGTATGCATACGTCTGATGACACCTTATAACAATCAGTTTTGCCAATAGTGACCCTCTTAATTTCAAGACCACTGATGATAGGTTTTTGGCCAAAAATTCAATTAATTATATAATATAAAAAAAATTTATGTTGTAGTGCATTACTTCTCAAAACCTCTCTAACAAAGTACAATAGTTTCTATTAAGTAAAATAGTCACTACCATTATAACTGACGTTAAATTATAATTTATTAAATAAAGTTTATTATATAAATTCAATTTACATTTCGTAAAATTTTAATGGATTATAAATCGAGGCTTTATTCATTTTCATATGGCAAGTTTTAGAGCCGATTTCACAGTAGCAACTTAAGTTTTAACACTGACTTAAGTCATGCTTAAGTCATTAACTTTGTTAACTAAATTCATATTTGGTGCTAGCGGGCTGCACCAAGAATACAAACTCCCGATTTTGTACTTTGTACAATATAAACCTTCTTTACAAAGCCAACATAACATCTTGTGATTTCGACTACCGCAGTACTGATGAAGAAGACATTTTGTCTGAAACATCATCATATTATTTATCTGAGGCAATATCGGAACTAATACTATAAACGTAAAAAATTATAAACATTCATTTTAATTATTTTTTAAATATGTTCATAATTTAATAAAACAAAGTACATAATATATTTTCTATATGAATGTAACAATATTGAAATTAGTAATGTTTTAACTGAAGTTTGAGTTCCTCTATTTCCAGTAACTTTAACTTCTCCATATATAACTTATGTATCTTTTGCTCCTCCGATAGTTAACAGTTTAATTTGTTGAAAATAAATATTTAAAATTTAAATATATTCGAGAAACTGATCATTATTGGATACTTACATATTCAAATAAACTCTTTTTAACTCTTTTTTAACTCTTTTCCAACACAGCTTGCTTGTGAATAATTTAGTAGGAAATAGGAAAAATACTCTCATTCCCATTTTATTCAGAATAAAGGAAATAACAAAAGGAAAAAAACCTCCCACTCCCATTTCATTCAGAAAAAGGAAATTGAGAAAAGAGAAAAAACTGCCATTTCCATTTCAATGAGAATAGGGGTGTATATCTCGGATATTAGTATACAACTTGCAACGGCCAAGTTGACAATTAAATGAGAATCTCTGAGTAAACTGAAACAAACTTGGGAAAAAGAAAACTTGTGGGTGATCTCAAAATTGGCGTGGTTCAAACTGGTGCAATAAGTGTAACCTGCTCAACATTATGGTATTGGTACTAACAGCTTATTGCGTACTGAGATTGGATCTACTCTACAGATCTACCCTACGGCTCTACGGGTGAAAAGGGAACTGTACTCCATCTTATGTGTCAGTCTCTATTATTGGCTAGAAGAAGATTAAAAATCTTTAAGGTGTTGTTAGTACCCTGACCACTGCAGTTTTTTTGGAATCCGTCTAGTCTGCGATTGTTTGGTAAATTTAATGACTAGTATGCGACTAGTATACAGTACTGACTAGTACTGAAATATGGAATATATATAAGATACTAGATAACCCGACAAACGTTGTTTTGCCTTATAAATTATTTCTAGTTTCTAGATAAATTCTAGTGTAGACAAAAAGTAACTTACTTATTATAAGTGTGTAAGTATGTGGTATATGCATGAAAAAGGCATGGAGCGCTATGAACGAAAAGGAAAATAAAAATAACAAACGCCAAACAATACAATATTTCAATATTAACAATATTATTTTTAAGTTATTATAGTTTATTTATTAAATTATTAATTTAAAATCAATAGATTTGTATGATACCAAGTTCCCTGGCAACAACTGTTGTATCTTCAAATTTAAATTGTCTTGGATTGACTGTCAATAAGCGTTCGATTTAAATAAATTGAGACATGCATCAACTGGTGAAACTTGCTTGCGGGGCATCCATTTTTTTGTTTGAGCCCATGTGAAATAGCGTGGTACTTGTGAATAGAGTAATGTTCTTGCAAAGGCACCAAAATCATCCGTACTATTACACAATTCAAAAAATGCAGTGAGTGTAGTTTTAGGTGGATTTGTACCACGATCAATCACTGTCTCGTTCGTGAAAAATACACGGTGACCGTTTTCAAGATGGACGGCTAACTGAACAGCTGCTGGATCCCGTTCATGAATTAGAAAACCGAAGATACGCCAAGCAGCTTCATTGGAGCTGATGTACCGACCAATTTGGTAGAGCGTAATTTCACCGTTTTTGTTCATTGGAGGAGCATTTACATTAGTATTTTCTACTCTAAACACAGCCATATCACTGCCTTTATGGACATACTTATATATTTGATGCTCTTCACAGAACTGCAAAACTCAACATTTATATGAGCATTGTATGTCTTGCTTAGCAGAGGCGAATACGGCACCACCCGCCATTGTCCCCCATTATCGGGATTTCTTCGACGATATATTGGATATCCGTCGGTATTTGTTATAGTATCATTAGTGAAATCTTTAGAAAAATTTTTAGTACATTTTCCATCTGCCATGCAAGGCGAAGACGAAGAAACGAAGTGGATGTAAATGCTCGATGTACTTGTTGGCGTAGTTACATAAAATATTAAGAAAAAAATTTTTCTTTTTCAAAAATATAAACAAAATTTATGTCAAAAAAATAAAAAATTTTTTGTTAAAGCAATAAAGATATTTTTGCTGGATAGGGACACCCTAATCACTTTAGCGGTATGAAAAATAGATAGTAGCCGATTCTCAGACCTACTGAATACGCATATAAAATTTGGTAAAAATCGGTAAAGCCGTTTCGGAGGAGTACGGTAACTAACATTTTGACAATGTTAATTTTATATATAAGATATAACTCAATAAAATAAAAATTACAAAATATTTATGATACTAATATAAGATCTTTAACTGACAATTAAGGAGTAATTACACTCTTCACATATGAAATTAAAACCGTGATAGCACATGTTTTACTTTTCGACGTAATCAGATCACAGTAATTATCATGATTACTGCGAAACCTATGAACTGGCGTGCAATGGCACAGCAATAAACTATGAGTTGAACGATTAGTATCCATATATTAAGTAAGATATGTCTTCTTCTTTGCCTGATGAAACGCGAGTTACTTTTTAGAGAATTTAATAAATTTAAAGTTAATTTATGATGATGGATGGGGCGGTCTTGCCATAAGAAAGGCAGCTAATAATAAGTTTAAACCTAATATTCTTGCGTATAAAGAAGAATTTAATTGTTGACACTTAATTTTCCTTGTATTAATGGTTTCAGAGTATTCAGAGTAATATTATAAGCCAGTTTTTTTACCTTTATATTCTCTAGTCAATCTTCTGTTAAAAGTTAGACCTAAGTATTTTACATTATATTCCCATTTTATTTCTACATTGTTAACTTTTAGTTTCCTTTCATTTTGATTTCTATGCCTTATAAAGAACATAAATTCTTTTTTGATGAATCATCAATTGAATATCCTTGACCTGTCCACATGTCCACAACGGTTTTCATCAGCGCAATATACCGATGTGTGCATGAAGAACACGTAACATTCTGGACGTTCCTGCCCACAATGGTGGTTAGCAGAGACAATAATTTGTAACAACTGTTTTCACAATGCTATGCATCCATTATGTCAATATTTGTTGTTTTTAGTTCTTTCTAGTTAGATAGCTTATGTAGTTCTTGTTAAATTAATCAAGCTCACAACTTAAAACCTTGATATTTCGAGAAGTTTGTCGGCATATAGTATAAACTAGCTCCAAATAGCTGACTTCACTAAATTCCGTTGTTATGTCGGCATGCCTGCAAAATCGATTTCGCATCGTTTTACGGAATGCACGTGTCATTAAAATCCTCATTATGTAAAAACTATATTTCTAAAGTTAAACAATTCTTGTCTAATAAGAAAAGCCGCTGATTTATTATTATATCTCATCTAATTAAGTAGGTAGATAGGTTAGCGTATAGGCCGTCAACTACCTCATGTACCAGCTGATAACTTCAAAATTCAAAAATACATCGACAAAGTTTCTTGTAACGGCTCGTAATCTTGCTATACCTAAAGCCATGTATATATGCTTGTAACGCAATAAAAAAAAGGAAAAAAATAGCTGTTTTGACAACTGTTGCTTCTCAAATGGATGTGGTATGCTGCAAAAACAGCTGTTTCATTTTGATGCTGCAATTCTGCAACAGAAGTGTTCTCGCATTCTTGAATTTCATGCTTCTTGCAATGACTTTGCAAGAGTGAATATTCCTCATATGATTCCAGTAGAATCCATAAGCATACTTTGCTTTGTGTCTAATCTATCTTAATAGCAAAATATTTTCTCTTCATATATCTAATTTTTTATTTTTATTTATATCACAACATATATCTAATATTTTAGTTTTGATTTTATTTTATTGATTAAATTAAGTTATAATTTGTGCGCAAAAGCCTTTCTTATAATAAAAATACGATTTCATATACATTTAATGTGTTTATAAGCTTTATTTGTATTTATCTTAAAACTTTATTTAAACATACAATACAGAAATACTTAAAATTGTTTAAAGTAAATAATTTCTTATTAATTTGTTTAATAATTTTACAATAGTTATGAGTGATACTGTGACAACAGAATTCATGTTACGAGTATCTTTAATTATAAATTATAATAATATTTAAATTCTATATGTGTATCATTTGTATGCATTCTCTGGCATAGATAGCGAATGCATAGTCGTATAAAAATATTTATTTTGAAGTGTATAACTAAAAATTGTTTATTTTAAATCACAAATAATAAATTTTATTCTTATAAAATTTTTAAGCACACTTAAGAGGTTTAACAGACAATGAATCAATCGTTAATCTGTGATCATTCTAAATTGTCCTCACTTAATTAAAATATTTTTTAGACTTTAAAATAAATATTTTTTTTTCTAAAATAAAACACAATTATTCATGATAATTTCATATTCACATAATTGAAATAATATCTAACATTTATATATATAGAGTTATGTAGGAAAATCATTAACTGGAGTCATTTATCCGTTCCTCCATTAAAATTTAATTTAAAACTGATTCTCATGCACAACTTTCAACTTAGCACATTGAAAGTTTGGAAAATCAAAACAAACTATAGCATATGGTGGAAATTTCATCAAAGTGTCAAGGCACTAATAATATATTAATCTTAAGTTTGTTTAGTAGTTTTACATTATATGCACATCTTAACAGTCACTTTGTATGAGCATTTCAGTAAGTGCTGTCATTTGTTCTTCACCAAATTTAATTTTGTCGGCTATATCACGTGCATCCGCAATAAGTTTAGCCTTCATATTGATGAAGTAATCAAAATCGGCATATTCATCGACACTTAGATTCTTTTCTAACATGCCCATCACACTGGTACCACGTCGTTGAATATCCTCTCTGAGGCGCTTCGCTTCCGTCAACTGTTCAAGTAAACGTTCTCGTTTGCTTTCCAATATTTTCTAAAAGAGAAAAGATTAATTTTTATAATTATACAAAAAGCTGGAGCGAGTTAATTATACCTTTTCAGTGCATTCTTCAGTTGTTGAAAGTAAATTGTTTTCTATTCTGGCCAAACGTTCCGATAAAGAAAGCAATAGACTTGTTATGTGTCCCACATCATCGATATATGTACGAAATTTGGTGGATTCGATTGGACGCACTTTATCAGCAACTTTGCTGATCAGGCTGCTGCCAAGTTCATCATTAATGGCTGATTCTTCACTAATGGTAGTCTGCTCATTAGAGAGTATACGGATTTTTCGTTTAAGATGACATATAAGTTCATTCTAAAATTGAAATACGTTGCATTAGTTTTCATTAATATATAAGAAGTGATATATATACATTGTATATAAACGCTTTGTTTATAGTTTTTAATACGTACCACTTTATTCTTCATCAGATCACAACTGTCGTTTTCGCTACTATTCGCTAATGTCACTTCCAGTTCAGCAAACTGCAATTCTAATGTGACGATATTCTGCTTTTCGCTTGTCTCCTGGGAATCACGTGTTTTCATACGCATTAAAGTTGAGGTGCCCACATTACGTTTTGTGGGCCTAAGTGCTACATTTGGATTGTACAAATTACCCACATAGTCAGTAGGTAATTTTGATGATTGCGGCATTAGTACTTCTATCAATTTATCATTGGGTTGTAGAAGGTTTGCCAACTCTTTGGATAAGTTTTCACAATCGATTTCGATAGGATGACGCTGTCTTGGCTGGAGTGTGGTGTGTGTTGCAGTATCTTCCTTTGTGTGTGCTAAAGTTGTGAGACGTCCCATGTCTGAGTCTGGTAGATCATCAGTTTGTGAAGCAGCTTCTGTAGTACTGGGGTTCACACGTAGCACGATTTCACTGCGTTGCATTAATTTGAGTCCATCTGTACTGGAGTCCATTTGTGAAATCTGTGCAGCAGCTACGGTATCTTGCGTCATATTTGTAGCAACATTTTGTAAGTCCTCATTTTGATCATATTCGATGACCGGTGGTTGAGTTAAGGGTAGTAAGGGCGCGGTCATATCACTTTGTTTAATATTTCCATTATTGTTAACAGCTTCAGTCAAGCAAGTGCTTTTTTCATCAGCATTGCTCTGAGCACATGATACATTATTTAATTCTTTTATTTCAGTTATTTGTTCAACTTCCTTAGTTAAAGAGTTTTGTTTGTCAATAAGTGCAATTTTTGTAGGATTTTGCGTAGTTGTCTTAACACTGTAGCTACCCAACAAACTGTTATCAGACATATGTGCGGACATTAATTGCGATTGTAGTTGTGTTATTTTTTCTATATTTTCTCGCAATGAATCTTTACGTGTCACTATCTTATTGGAAGTGCCACAGGGCGATGTTGATAAAGTGGTATTTACCAACTCTGCACGGAAAATTCTGCCGTCTTCTGCTTCACTAACATTTTCTAAATTTCCTCTATTATTGCTTATATCAAAATGTTCAGATTCTTTAGTGCTAGTACGTGGGCTGTACGATTTAATAGATGTATTACTTATTTTAGGACTGCTGAGGTTATTCTCGGACTGCGCTGGCGAAAGTATAATATTTGTGGATTCGGGCAGTATCTCTTCTAATGTTGTTTCGAGGTTGGGTGTTCTTTTAAGATCAAGTGTTGACTGTGACATAAACTTATTTGGACTTGTCGCATTTGTATTGACATCGTATGATTGAGATCTGGCATAGCTTGGTATTGTTGCGTTGCTATTGTTATTATTGTAGTTACTAACAGCAGGTGAAGAATATCGATGATGTGTTGGTGGATATATTGAATAACATGAGGCTGCATGTTGCTGCTGTTGTTGTATTGTAGGTGAAGTAGTTGATAATGCGAGGTTATTATTGGAACCATAACGTAATGGAGAATTGTTATTTGCGGATGTAGGTGATGATGGCTGTGGCTGTAATTTAGCACCCAATGGCAGCACGTCAGGCAAATTGTTGTTTGCTATTTTACCATTGTGATTGAGTATGTCATATGTTGGTTTAATATTGGCAACTAAATCTTCATTAGACGTTAAAGTCAATTTGTAGCTGCCATGATCAGGATCTGTATTGTTTAACTTTTCCAGACTTTGTCGTGGCAGATACGATGCCTTCGAGTTACATCTGTAAAAATTAAAGATTTTTGTTATTTATTTTAAATTTGCAATAAATTTGTTAACATATAATATACAATAAATTTTCAGATTTTCGTAAGTACAGAAATATATAAATACTTCAAGCAATAACAAACAAATTTGAGTTTAAAATGTTGAATCAATACTCAAACCACAGTTTTTCCATGCACTGAGTCCTCATAGTGTTGAAATTATACAGAAAAATTCTATAAATAACTAGTAAGAATTGGGAATGTAAAATATTGCAATAATTTATGGAACACCGTCTCTTTATAGTCCAAATTTTGTTAAGATAAGACAAGTCAAGATGTAGATATATATTTAAAGAAAGGCGTAATGGTATATCACGGCGCATATTGTACTATTTTTCAGAGAAAGTTTCATATTCTATTATAATTAACAGATAGTTAAAGACTATTGAAAAATTTCACTACTGAACACGAAACAAATAAGTTGAATTTTTTGGCAATCATATATAATGAGTGAAGAAAGATAAATAAATAATTAACTTTAAATTTATGTTTACACAGAGCTAATAATAATAAAATTTATTGTTATTTTTATGATTTGTTTTAGGAAAAATAATTCAATTGCGCAAAATAGGTTAGCCCCACCTCGTAAAAATAAACAATTAATATTTTTAAAGTGTATACCTGTAGCTTATTTTTGGTTTACCATTACTAACTAGGAAAATTAGCATATACTAACTATATATCAGACCCAATTGAAAAAGAGATTACAATTCGTGAAATGACCGAGTCTGCGGCCGAGTCAACTTGTAATCCTCAAATACTTACTGCTCATCACTGTGAATTTCGTTAGGAATATTTGGGTTTTAATACAAGCAACTACAATAAAAAATTTTAAACAAATATTTCGATTAAAAAATTTCCGGAATTACAAAATGAACACACAAAAATCATCCAATAATGAAAATTTCTTGTTATTTATTTTATTTGAAAGTGGGTTCCTTCAAATGCATTACAACTATGCAAACGTTTGAACTAATAATCCACAATATCTTTATAAGTTCTATGAATTTTTCTTTACACCCCCAATTGACTTGAAACAATGGTAATTTTAGTTTCAGCAACGGAAAAAATACGAACTTTATCCTGTCATATGACTACAGTGCTTAGTTGGATATATTTGTTGAGTTTTTAACCAAAATCTCTTATACCACAATGGCTTCGTGACATTGCAGAACACTCAAAAGTATAATGAAAAGAAGATATTGGATAGCATGCGTTCAAACGTCATACAAAATTAATGTATCATAAAATTGTATTCGCTTTTCAATCCACAATAACGTGTTATCATTCACACGTACGCTAAAAATCAAATATGTAACATATATATTTATGAAGAAAGAGAGAAAATAAGAAATAAATAGAGGAAAGAAAGAAAAGAGAAGAGAGAGCTTATAGCTCTCCCATATGCAAAATAAGCTACATAATGATATACCTGTATTCAGTCTTACAAATTCATTGCAAATAGCACGAAATGCACAGATTGCGCGAGCTTGCAATGAACAGCAACAAAATACACGTACAAAGTTTTTTGCAATTGCTTGCAATCTTGCTATACCTAAGCCCATGTATATATGCTTGAAACGAAACAAAAAATGGAAAAAATAGCTGTTTTGACAACTGTTGCTTATCATATGGATGTGGTATGCTGCAAAAACAGCTGTTTAATTGTTATGTTGCAATTCTGCACCAGAGGCATTCTTGCACTATTGCAATTTAAGTATTGCATTCTTGCATTTCATACACTTAGCAATGAGTTTGCAAGACTCAATGAATATCACTTGTGTCTTCAAAGAAAATCGTGAAAGTTGAACTCTTCAAATAAATTATGATTCCATGATGTTAATGGGAGGAGCTTTGACAGAGAATTTACTGTCTTTTTTTGACGTTTCAAATTTGTAGCCAATTTTATGGTACCTAGTTGTTAGCAACTTAATCGATTATCAAAAAAAAAAATTAAAATAGTGTATTTTATTCATCGTTAAGTTATAAATTCTGGATAGTTTTTATGCCAAATGCATATCCAAAAATGCTATTGGACTTTTAAGCCTTCAGTGTCATTATTCTTTTATTGGAATCAATACAATTATGACAGCATCAGTAATTTCTAATAATTTCCAAGCCAATTTCCTATAGTAATAAAACAGAATATAATAATTTGAAGCCCTACAAAGCGGATATATAATATCATAAATGTACCCTATGGCCTCTGGAAGTCTAGCAATTGGTTACATTTCTATGCGGTGTAGTAACCACAAATCAATTTTGCAATTGTAATGTACTATGCGCCCCGTAAGGAAAGTAACCATGAACTGCAATAAGAGAAACCTTAAAAACTTTATTTACGAGTATTTGGTTTTTTTCTTAATTTTTCCATTAAACTTGGTTTAGAGCAAACATTAATATTCAAAACAAATATGAGGCATAAAAGGAGCAAAGTAAACCGCAATTGGGTACACATTTCATTTTAGCCGGGAGATTAAATTTAATGTTTCTTTTCGCACATCCACGCCTGTCATTATGCGCTTCTGCAAATTAAATTAAAGAAATCAAAGGAGGCTCACTCATAATTTATGATAAATTATGTATTAAGCTTGAGTCTGTAATTTATGATTTCGAGATTAATTTGACTGATATGACCAGTGGTCGGTGTAAGCCAGAGAGCATCAACGAAAACCATGTAATTATACACAAAGCAAAATCACGGATGTGCACAGTGGACAGACATGCAAAAGTGAACTCGTTGAACCTGTTCCCCAAACTGCGTACGAAAAGCGGAAGTGTGAAGACCATATATATGACTCCAGCGAAGGAGTATACTACAGTGCTGCAGGGTATCCAAGTACAGTATTTCGTTGACTGAACGAGAAAAGTGAATTTAATTGTTTAAAAATGCATATAAACAATTTGTTCATTAAGTTTGGCAACATCCTTACAAACACTAAATTGCTTTTTTTAAAGTTTTCTTTTTAAAAAAAAATTAAATTTATAGTCGTCCACTGTGCATATAAAATACTGCTCTACATCACACCCTAGATTTGTTCGACAGGTTTGACGTACCCAACGGTGGGAGTTGTTTAAAGGTTCGCGCGTGCGCTTTACGCGAGATTTGGCAATACTTTGGCGTTAAAATAAATTTTAACGACGCCGTCGGTTGGTTAATTTTTTTTTTTGTACTTAATGGATCGTGCAAGTGAAATGTCACATTCGGGTTGTGGGGTCATTGGTGCAATGAATGGAACATACAACCACGATTGGCATGGCAACTGTATCAATTGTGGAAACCAAATAAATTGTAGGCGTGCGTCTTTATTTACTAAATTTTATGTAAATTTGTAAGTTTAGTTTATTTTTGCTTTGATTTTTTTAACGGAACCAAATTGGCGTTACTTGTCTCAAGTAAAGCTGGTGGAACATGTTGAAACAGCGGCAAAGCAAATTCACCGCTCCTTTTCATCAACGTGAAAACTGATGGCAGATTTCGGTTGCTGCAGTCAAGTCATGACGTTGAATTGGAAGTTGAAGTTGAAGTTGACGTTACCCAAAACCGAATTCAATCAATGTCTAATGTTCAAAACGAAAATCGTGCCTCGTTGCCAACACTACGACTGTTTGGAGCTTGTATGAGGTTTATTATTTTACCAGAGGGTAGTTGTCGCCTCACCCATATATGGTATAGCGTTAAACATTTTAGTTTTTAATAATATTAAATTTGGTTATGTCAACAACAATTTAGGCAAACGCTTATCATTTTTATGCTTTTATTAAATCATAGATATCCATATGAGAAACATTTATCTTGGTTAGTTGATTGGGTGAGGTGAGCGAGCAGAACTGAAATTGTGATAAAGTGTGTACTCGTATTCGATTAGACGATGTAAGAGGTTATTAGAATCAGTGCTATTAAACATAAATGCACATAATTAATGGTTTAAAATGTAGATTTTGTGAATATGTTTACAAACAATAAATCTATAATCTATAATAATTCGGTATGAATCTAAATAAGGTTGGAAACATGTTGTAATTGTGGTCATAATTCTTTTCATAATTAGATCATTTAAATTAGGAATTACGAGTTTAAGTAAACCGAAAAGTAAAAGTAAAATTATGGAATAGATTATTTCTATAATTATATAGTATCTTTGATCGAAGGATAAATATTGATTTTGGAATTATTTAATTTTAATTTTAAAATGTTGAATGTTGTTGTATATTAAACATTAACATTTTTTATGGATTTGTTTATGAACCTAGATAGTGACTCTTTTCTCAGAAGGAGTTTTTGAGTTTTATTTAAAATTCACATGAATATATAATTGTATTTTTTTTCAATTTATAAATTATTTATTTAATCTTTCTAAAAACGAAACTAACAATAAGTGGATCAAATCTTAAAACTAAATTTATTTTTTCCCTAAGCCATTGCTTTGGAAAAACTATTGAGACATTGAATTATTTATAATAAGATAAGATTGAAAATTATTAAATTAAAATTAGAACTAAAATTAAAATTAGAATTAAAATTAAAAATGAATATATAATTTAAAATAAATCATTAAATTTAGTGCAAAATAGTCCAAAGGGCTTTTAAGTTGTCCAATAAACAATTAGACGTTAAGTTTTTTATGATTTTGTTTATGGATGTGCAAGTGACTCTTATAAGAGGGAGTTTTTGGAAACTTGTTCGCAATTCACATAAATATATTATATTAAATATCATACTAAATAAATGAATAAAGAATCATTAAATTTATTGTAAAATAATTCAAATGAATATTTAGGGGTGTATGAACTCCAAAACTTCCCTTTCTACTAATTTTGTTTATTCTCAGCAGTACTTTTATATATAAATATAGTTTATCAATAAGTATTAATATGTAAGTAATAACAATAATTTAGTCAAAGATATATTTTTGTTTTTTAACGAGCTTATCGATCACTATATTAAAAAACAAAATTATTATTATAAATATTTAGTCATTAAAACAAAAAAGTATTGGCAAAGATATATTTTAGATCTTGTTTTGATTTGATATATAATTTACAAGGATAGGATCTCTATACTCTATATTTTGTAGAGTGAATAAGTTGTACACGACAGAAAAAGATTTACTCATATATATGCAGA